CTTTTTCTTTATACTGTAATCTTTTTTAATCATTATATACGACTGCTTTTTTCAGATTAATTGTTAAAAATAACTGAATGAATCCTGTAGGTCTTAGCGAGGATTATCTTTCTTTGAACCTTATGGTCTGGCACTATAAAATAACAGTCAAAGAAATGTACCAAATAACAGAAACCACATCAGTTGTGGACTTTCAGCAACAGCTAAAATGGGTAGCATATGTAACTTGAAGAGAAAATGACATTATCAAGATGTTGATATTCTACACTGCGCCAAATAAAAGGTTAGGAAGAACCCCGAAAAAAAAGTGTCATTACTGGAAAGAACATTAACAACTACTTGACATGAGGAACCTATTTTCCTGAAAAATTGTTTTAAGAGAAAGATTTTATAAATTTCAACAGGACCCATTTAACTTTGTGGAGTAAGTAAGTACTAGTTTGCAAAATTGAATTTGGAACTTTAGTCACTACTGCTTATATTCACTCTGCATACATACCCTTGACAAAAGTATGGCTGCATTGCTCCCTGAGTACTTTCTCATTGTCATGTATCTAGAAAAATAATTCTTCAATAAATATATGCCTCAGCAGTGGTTAAACAAATTATCAACTTGGAGAACAACCAAGAAGATGGTTTCATATAGTTATTTTCTGATCATGAGACCTGGCTTTGATCCCACTATGGTCTTTTAGTCCAGGAGGTGACCTGATAATATAATCTCAGCAAGCAGCACCATTGGGAAGGGTTTAGAAAGCATAGCGCACAGGTTTACTCAAGCTTTATGAGTGAAATTAGGTAGATAGAACTGTCTGTAAACTGTCAATGATTGTGTTAGCATGAAATCCCAAGTCATCATGACTGAGGGTTTGAGTGCACAGGCCTTATTCATACTGTTGATCATACCAGATTATGTGCTCTCTACCAGAGACTAACTAAGGTCTGCTCAGCATAGCTGCAGTATAATCCACTGGTGGTTACTGAAACACAGATGCGCCTGAGTGGGTTTCTGCAACAGAGATCAATTAGCTATCATAGCAGACAGATATTGTGTTGACGAAGGAGGAAATATATATAATCACATGATTGTCACTATTTAGAGGAAGAAATGATATAACTTCAATTTTGCAGTGAGCTTGTAAGTGACTCAAAAGGCCTCCTTTATTTCTGCAATATGACAAATGAATGACTTGTGTATTGTCTTTGAATTTATCTTGCCCTTATGCTTTTACATGTGACTCTTCTGACCTGCTGCTGTCGAACATACTTTGTCATAAAGCTGATGGACATTTCCTGTAAGTCCTTGTTGATATCTGTCAATATAGTCTGTTTGCAATTACTTACTGTCATGAGATCTTAGATGACAAGCAAGTCCAACTGGATAAGAACCTACCATAGATGTTTCATGTTTGCTCAGGCTGAAGATTATCTAGGTTTGAGGTTATGGCCTGTTTTCTAAGAGTCTGTTTCAAGATTCTTTGAATGCTTTACCACCATCTTTTACCATTTAACTCTGCACACATTGATTTTCTGTCAATGTTTCCCAACCATCAGCAGCAATAAAGTTTCAACTTTGTTTTTAATAACATTCTTAAAAGGCTTTTTGGTTTGAGGTTTTATATTTACCACATGTTAACTTTCCATTAAATAACTCTCCTATAAATAAAGTAAGACCTCTAATACATTTATCCTATAAAGAATCTGTTATTTGCAAATTATCTTTCTACAGGGGCCCTGGCTGGTTTAGGGAGAGGAATTCTTCTATATTTGTTAACTTAGGGAAATCATTGCTGCTCTGGGTAGCCAGTGGAACATCATTATTATTCCTTTTTAGCGATTTTAATGATATCAAATATTTATTTAAGTATGTTGTTCTTCTAAGTTGGTTTTATCCTCACTGGAAATAAAGAAATATTATCCAATGTCATTATTTGAATAAAGATGTTCAATATTCTTTTATGTTGCTATGTGACTCTATTGTCAAATTATTGACTTTAATTATCCATCTCTTCCGAGCGAAAATGCTTGAGACAATAATCATGATGGACAATTTATACACTCTCCTTGTCCTCATAAAAGAAAAATTGAATAAAATAACCTGTAAAATTTTCCTTTATTTGTTTAAAAGATTGCTGCCCAAGGAGTGCTAAATATTAATCCCATATATATGTTTTTATTTATTTATTAAACAGTATATTTATTTATTTCCATTTACTCACCTGAATATTTGAGAAATCTTATTTACATTGTTTGGACTGTTGTCCTCATCCTTATTGCCATATATTTATTGTAGGTTGTTCTAGTTCCATGTGCCTCTTCTGGATGTCTCAGTTATTTCCCTTTAACTCAACTCCCCAAGTTTTGGTTCACCACTGCACTAGCCAGGTATTGAACTCACAACTCTTTGGCTCAAGTCATCGGATCAAAACAATGGGTTTTTTTCTACTGGGTCATGTGTCCTTGAGGAAGAGGTATGGCACATAGAACTAGAACAATCTACCCCTATGGATGTAATAAAGGGTTCAGTTTGGAATTCCAATCACCTGTAGAAGGCTGGAGTGTACAATGGCTGAAATGTTGTGAATAGGGGAATAAAGATGAGGACAACAGTTTGAACAATGTAAATAATTACAATATCTCATCTCAAAAATATAGACATATATTGGCAGGATTCAAACCTGTATTCCCTAGGGGAAACTAATTAGATCTGATGTGCCTTTACCTCTCGGACAGGAGAACGTCCTGGTCAAACAAAGACTGAATGGTGCTTTTGAATACAGATTTTTCAGGTTGTGAGATGGAAATAAATATACTGTTTAATAAATAAATGAAAACACAGCATCTACTCAAATATAGGTATCCCTTAAAAATAACGCTTAAGCAATAAATTAAAATATATTGCATAAAATTGGAGATATTATTAAAATCTGAAAAAGAACAATATGAATAAAAACAAAAGGAAAATGCATTTTAGCTGATGTGTTTCTTCCTCTGCTTATATATATATATATATATATATATATATATATACGCACATACACACTCTGAGTGTAACAACAAAATTGTCCAAATCGTGTAACAGCCTAATTATCCATCCCACAAATGTTTAATATCTAAAAAAAAATACTAAACTAATTGAATTTCTTTTTTCCAGGTTTTCAGAAAAGATTTTTAGCCATCTTGACACCATTTTTTGTAAGTTTTTTGAGTTATTCAGCTGAAAAGAAAGCAGGTTAAAATTGTTTTGTGTCAGACCCACTGTCTTCCCAACTGAGCAATGGTGAGAGGAAAAATATCATTCAGGCCTTCAGTAATGATACCAACATTTATGCTCTGGCTTCCTTCTTCAAAGTTCATTCAAGAAACCTCAAGAGAACAGTCAATAAGTTTAAAAAGATGGGAATAGTAGAGAGGAAAACTTGATCAGGAGGTCACAACAGGAAGAGGGATCATCGTTTCAACTTAGAACTAAAGAGATCAATTAGAAAAGATCCAACTCAGTCCATAAGATGTTTGGCACATAAGAGAGGAGTTTCAGCTATGACAGTCCAAAGAGCAGTGAAAAAAAGACTTGAAAATGAAATCGTACATGAAATGTGTGAGGTATCTTGCTACTTACTCTGGGACAGAAAGTTAGAAGATTAGGGGGTGCGTAGATCATCTTGAATAAGTTGGAAGATGATCCTGGAATAATATATATATATATAACTTTATTTCAATCCTTCATGAGCTTCTGATTCTTAGTTATGATTAATTAATGATGAATGTCATTTTTGTTTATGGTCGATTTCATCATGATTCATCTGTTAAGCTTAGAGAGTAATTATACATTCTTATTGCTCAAAGTAGAACCCAATAGTTTTATAAAAATCTCAGTGATTTCCAGTAAGATATCTTTAATCATTTCTAAGATACAATGGTTCAAAGCTTAACCTCACAATTGGACAATTTCACTGTTACACGGTTTGGTCAATTTTGCTGTTACACCTGGGATGGATGGAGATATATATATATATATATATATATATATATATATATATATATATATATATATATATATATATATATATATATATATATATATATATAAGCTGCTTAAAAAAGAGTCTGCTATAGAGGTACAGCAGAGAAAGAGTTCAATGCCATATTCACTGACACAGCCTTAATATATTTTAATTAAATTTCCAATGAGCAGCTGACCACCTGTTGATTGCATGAAAATACATGAAACTGTCAGTCGTAATTGGCCACTGGTCACTCAAAATTTTATTAAAAATATATATTTTTATTTTGACGTAAGTAGAAGATCTGTAAATGGTATTTTTTATCCAACTGCATCTACCGGCGTGAATATTTGAGAAATCTTGTCAGAAAAATATGCGTGGTCAGGCTGGTAGGTGTAGTTGGATAAGAAACACTGTTTAATTAAAAAACAGTTTCTACTCAAATATGAGTATCCATCAGTGACAATGTTCAAACAAAGTGTGTGTATATATATATATATATATATATATAAAAAATGAGGTGTTTGATAATCCGTATAGATAATTTCAAGGAGCATATAATCCAGAGCTCAATGTCAAAACAGAGCAAATATTATTATCAAGGAATAGACAACTTTAAGGTTTCATGATGATTATAATTTTTTTCTTTAGGATCAAAAGTCGATCCTAATTCCTCAGATTGACCATTTTCATACAAATAAATGGGTGACAAATATTCCAGGCATAAGAAGAATTAATTTATTATATATATATATATATATATATATATATATATATATATATATATATACTTATGACAGTAAAAAAAATTTTTTTTTTTTTTTAATAATCATTAAATTTATTTCTCAATAATTTAAATTTTTCTTTTTTTAATACTTTCCTCTTTGACTGTTTATTGTTATTGCTGTCTTTTTCTCCTATCTTTTCTGGGTTGTTGCACACATTCTTTTCAACTGAGTATTATATTTTATTTTTTATTTTATTTTTTTTGTTCAGTTGTCAAAGAGGAAGTTTCTGTTAATAAAGACCTTCCAGCAGATGTGGGTGAAGCTGGTAATCATGTTGGGGAGAGCAGCAGTTTGTCTGATGGCGTCTTCAGTGATGAAGAAGATGACATCCCATTAGGTAACCAATCTCTGCTGCCTATGCTTCTGTTGTGTTCATTTTTGTCATGTCTTCATACGCTGCTTGCAAATTGCTTGTGCATGTTCGTCTTTGCCAAAACTGATAGTAGGTGGTTTTTCATTGTGCTTGTCAAGGGGTGGAGGTGAATACTTCAACAACTGAACCACAACTTTGCATGGCTTGTGGTCATTTCAGGGCAAGTGGTACTGTCAGTTCTCAAGTTTTGAAGTTTATTGGCAAAATCTTTGAATCACACATTTGCATGCATTCTCCAATTGCAGAGTAAAACGATGTATGTACTTGCATAACCAAATTAGATTATACATATGGAATTTTTATCATAATATATTAATGCCTAATAAAACACATCAGCCAGTAAATTACTAGAGTTTAATGTGTAAACAAAACATAGTGCAACAGTAGTAAGACAAAAACTTAAAAACATAACCATCTCGGGTATGACGATAAACTACATCTGCATCTTGGGTAAGATGATAAACTACGTCCAAACAGACCTCTGATCAGGAGCTTTTGAGGAGCGTGGAACCACCTCTTAATTGCTGGTGTTCCCAGATCCACCCTGACTTAGGGTAGTAGCACCTGTTAGGGTCCCAGCTATGGGCAAATATTTAACCCCCCTAAACTGGTGTCAAAATACTATGAAAGAGTAAAAATAGGTTTTAATACTATATAAAAAAAAAAAAAATTATTACCAGCAATAAATTTTAGAAGGAAAAAATAACTACCAGCAATACATTTAAAAAAAAAAAAAAATAATAAAAATTACCTGCTGCTATATATTTAAAAAAAAAAATAATAAAAATTACCTGCTGCTATATATTTAAAAAAAAATAATAAAAATTACCTGCTGCTATATATTTAAAAAAAAAATAATAAAAATTACCTGCTGCTATATATTTAAAAAAAAAAAAAATAATAAAAATTACCTGCTGCTATATATTTAAAAAAAAAGTAATAAAAATTACCTGCTGCTATATATTTAAAAAAAAAGTAATAAAAATTACCTGCTGCTATATTTAAAAAAAAAATAATAAAAATTACCTGCTGCTATATATTTAAAAAAAAAATAATAAAAATTACCTGCTGCCCTATATATTTAAAAAAAAAAATAATAAAAATTACCTGCTGCCCTATATATTTAAAAAAAAAATAATAATAAAAATTACCTGCTGCTATATATTTAAAAAAAATAAATAATAATAAAAATTACCTGCTGCTATATATTTAAAAAAAAAAAAAAATTTTTTTTTACCAACTATATATTTTATGTTTTGTTACAAAAGATTACCAGCAGTAGATTTTTGAAGGAAAAATATTACCAGAAATAGATTTTTGGAAAAAAAAATATTACCAGTAATAAAAATTGTCGGCATTAAGTAACCCATTGAAGTTGACATGCCATAAAACAAACCAAACCAAACCATTAAAAATTTACCCTCTAACCACCAGTTTCACAGCTATACTGCTCATCAAAGTTAGATGGATCTATTGAATTCATTAATAGATAATATATTTAAATATACTAAAAATGTTAATTATTTACTGAGAACAAACTTGAAATCTGGTCTCTACTTTTAACATTTAGACATTAAAAAACATGACAATATTTAATGTGTAATTGTTTGATTTTATTTATTTATTTATTTTTTTTTTAATGCTTTTATAATTTCACCATTATAAAAGACGTTTATAAAATTTTAGTGAGAGGAACTATAAGTAGTAATAATAATCTTGAAAAAAAACTAAGAATAAAATACATTGTTGCTGACCTTTGCTTAGCATTTAATATAACACTGACTAGCAGTATAACCTGTCGTTGACCAGGTCTTTCATTACTGGGAATTTTTACCATTCAATTGGAGCAGTTTACGTTTAAAGTCAGCCCACTCAAAAATCAGTATTACTAACAACATTTGGGTGGAACTGAAGTACATCACCAAATGGTGGGAGGTGCCTGAAAAGGGAACTGTAATAATAAATAATATTGTAATAATTTAAAATATTTTTATTAAAGTTTTTATGAAAGATATATATCCAAGAACAGATAGTAAATTGTAAAACGTTGCTGAGAGTTATAATGGACAGGAAGTAGTGGAGAGCCATTGTCACCAACAATTTGAACTCAAAACCGGCAGTGATGAATTATCTATCAAACAAAAGAAATTTCATCAAAATCAGGTGAAAACTGTGGAATGCATAAAAAACATCCGATCACACACAGACATACACACATTTTGAGAATTATAGATATAAGAATTATATTTTGTTTCCCTGTAATACTTGCATGAAAAACAAACATCAACACCTGTATTCATAACATCAGCAAATTGCTTATAAAGCAAAATATATGAATAGTCAATACTTTGTTACTAACTGTAATCAGTTAAATCAGTCAGTTATGTGCCATGTGTGATATATGTGTAGGCGACCATGTATCTTTTGATACATGACTGACTAGGCAGATTTTTTCCTGCAGTAGGTTGCCATTTTTTTCTGCAGTAGACCAGTTGCAATTCAAGGCTATAGAACCCAGTCTGTCCTGCTATTTACCCATAGCTGGGGAGAGAAGATGATGATTCATACTCTTCCCAAGGGTATTAGCATGTAAATGAATGTAATCGATTCGAATGGAATTCAAATTCGGCTCTCCGATTCATAAAATCAGCAAGTTACATACTTAAAACATAACCATATCAACTAAACTTGTACATTTTCAACTTTTTTCTGTCATTTGGAAGATCATTATCTTTATTATTTTTACTTTTGGTGATGTATGATTTCAGTATTTGTTATTTTAGTTAGGTACCTCCACGAAATCGCTAAAAAAAGAGCATAGCTTGATGAAAAAGACGCCAACCTTGCCGAAAACAAAATTTTATTGTCTAAATGCTTATGTTATTATTAAGAGGAAAGACCTAAGTTTTTTTAATTATTTTTAAAAAATTTCCTTCTTTTTAGAACATTCTAAATTTTGATTAAAAAACCTTTTTCTATTTGTATCAGCGAACTAGTAAATAACATAGACAATTTTTAGCACGTTTTTTGGTATGACACATTAATTTGAAAATCGTGCAAAAATAGAAATAATTATCGGATGTTAATGAAATTTTCAGGAACTATTCACAGATGATCGAAATTATTATAAATATGTTTTTTTTATGAAAGTCATGGTAGAAATATTTTTTTAAATATTTATTACCCCCCCCAACTAATTTTATGAAAACGCTAGAAATTGATTGCATCGGTTTTAGTAATTACAATAATTAAAAGTACAGGGCTTTGAGGAATGCAAATCATGTTTTTTTTTTTTTGTTTTTAATTGGATATGCAGTACCTGAAAATCAGCTCTGAATTGTAACATACAAAACTCAATAAAACAAAGATATTATTTAATTTCAAATGCTTTTATTTGCTTTTAGTTGTTTTATGAATATGGACAATATTTTCTGAAAAAAAAAAATTTTTTCGATGAAAATGAATTTTTAATACAATTATTTGTTATTTCATTAATTATAATAGATTTTACATTTAAGTTGTTAAAATATTATAAAATTAGTTAAAAGTCAGATCGGCTTTCATAAGTGTCCTTATGAGATAGATCTTTTTTTAGCGTTGTAAATTGTATCATTTTGACTAATCAGAAGATACCCAGTAATTAAGAAATGTAATTTTGTGCTTATAATCGAGCTGTAATTATAAAATACGGAAGACCAACCAGAATATAATTAAGTTGCGTTATTTGAGTTAAGCATTGTTCTCCGCTGTTAAGGCCTTTACTTTTCTTGAAACACGTGTGGAGAAGTTAATTTGATTTTTCAATTTCAACTGAGAAGGGTACCTACAAGTATCAGTATCATCTTATGAAATTTATATGATCTTATTTTTATATTAATCTCAGTTTCGACATTTTCCATAAATGAAATATCAAAATTAATAATAAAATGAATGCAAATATAAATAACAGTAGAATGTAATAAATGTACATAAAATTATAGTATTTTATGTACAATTCTGATAAAATTTCATAAGAAAGGTACCTATAAATTAATTAGATACCTTTCTTAAGAAATATGAAATTTAATGTCACTCTTAACAGTTTTATTTTAATTTCTTTAGAATATATTTCCCATAAAGCATCATAAACGTAAAGGTGAAAGCTAAGTACAAAAAAAAAAAAAAAAAATTAGACCGCTGAAAGTTTTTGTTAAAAATAACGGGGTAAATAATTTGTTCACGTAAATGTAAATTATTTCACTTTTCTCCTTCCGTAGAACAAATTAGCCTCATGGAATTCATAAATATATCATTCATCACATGTCAAGAGACGCGAAAGTTTATGACCTGCTTTGTTTTATTTTCAAATTACATCTTTTTGGCACAAAAGCTAAGTTAAGTTTGGTTCAAAATATTTTAAATAAACATTATAATTTCTGATTTTCTTAAAATAAGTTTTGAAAAAATGATAATTGATATTTAAAAAAATTTCAAAGTCAGATTTCCATTTTTTTTTTTTAAAATGGAAAAAAATAGTCAATTTGCTGACTCAAAAAAACTAGATTTTTAATGAAAATTTTGGACGTGCTAGGAACGATTAAAAATGGAAAAAAAATACCCAAAAAATACTTTTGACCTTTCCTCTTAATAATAACAAACATTTAGACGATAAAATTTTGTTTTTCGTCAAGTTTGGCGTCTTTTTCATCATGCTATGCTCTTTTTTAGCGATCTCGTGGAGGTACCTAATTTTAGTAATTTACCTTATTGTCATATAGTTCCAGATATTGTTGGAATTTATTATGCAAGTCAATATTTTCTCAATAAAATTGGTATTACCCTACCAATGTTTTATA